CTGCTTGTTCTTCTTTTTAAACATCGACCAGCACCAAATAAACTTCATGAGACTTAGAAAGTTCCTCTGTGGTTTTACTTCTTTTTGTTTCCCCAAAAAACCCTTTGTTCATCTTTAATTCATATCACAGTCATTTATTGTCGGTGAATGTTAAATTTTTTGTTTTGTTTCTGTTTTCATTTTTGGCCAACCAGTTTTGAAGTAGCGATCCTAGTTAAGGCGAGAGGTAATGCAAAGTTTCTTCGATTTTGTGGCTCTAGTGACGTTCTCTTTTCTTTTTATTATGTGAATTTTCTGAAGGTGAAAAAGTTTTCAAGTTTGTTTGTAATTTCTTTTGGTTAAACAGGTTATTGGACAAGTTATGTACATACGTGTGGTTATGTTATCGAGAGATTTTGTATACGCTTTTATTGCAGAAAATTTAGCGTTTGAAATTGTATTTATTCTTTGCTTTTGTTGTGGTCATTTGACAGATTTGTTAAGTTGTTCGAATTGACGCTAGTTTCGAATTGACTTATCTTGTATTCCTGGCTGAAGACATAGGTAAGTTCGACTGTAGAAGTCTTGCCCAGTATTTAACTCCCCGTGCGCTTTATTTATTAATTTCTTTCAAAAGTAACTGCAGAAGGAGTAAATTTTTGGTTTAAGAAGCATTTGGAAACAGATTCCGTGATCTTTATTTCTTCAGCTAATGTTTTTCACCAAAAGCCGATTGATTTTTTTCAGTGTTATCGTGCTTGTCTTGGAAGTGAATTCGATCTTTGTTATTAATAAGAAAATTACGTGAAAATGAATTAGTTTTAAAAGGGTGACTGATGAGTTTATTGGTAATCTGATGTAGCTACGCAGCTCCTCCGATAACTTCACAGTTTTATTGATATTTCAGTGGTTTTTTTTGCGTCTGACTAGAAGACCGTTCTACTTCATTGGTCAGAGAAGAAGTTAATTTCAATACCATTTCGATGCTGAATTTCATTGATTTTTGATTCCTAGAAAAGAAGAGAATGGGTTCTATTTTCGCTGAGAGTTAACTAAATGCAGAAGTTTGGAATGGGTCAGCGGCGGAAGCGCAAAGGGAATTAGCGCTTTTATGCTAGTAGGAATTGTCCAAATGAGCGAGGCAGGAAGTGGTCTAAGTCTCCTAATCGAATTCTATTTCGTTCTGATTCTTTGTTGAAACTGTCTTTCCTTAGGCTAGTTAAGTGATGTTCATTGTATTCTTAAACTGGGGGCGGGAGCGGAAGGCTAGTCAAGTGATGTTCATTGTATTCTTCTCCCATCCTTGCTCTCTCTCATTTCACTGCTTTACCGTGAAATTTGGTTAAAAGAACTGCTTTTATGTGCACTCTGCTCCACCTGTAATTTCAATCTTGGTGAGTGTCACGGAAAGGTTTTGCACTTGTCCAGAAGTCTCCTCATCCTTCCTAGTATTGAGCAAAGCATAGGGTGCAGGTGGGATTTAGAGCCACAACAAATATCTTTCTGATGCGCTGTTCTTCCGTCTAAGGTATCAAAAGGGTCAGCTCATCTTTCCTTAGATCGAAGCATGCTGATTTTGCTGGTTCCTTGTCTTCCCTGACAAGACGGATGCTAGCTTTTTCAGGATGCTTAGCAGTTTAAATTTTTTTTTTTGGAGGATGGAGCAGTGTGCTACTGAAAGTCACACATTACCTTTTGAATTCTTCGCAGCATGCTTCCAATTTAGAACTCCCTGAAGAATTCTAGTTCCAGTTCCTGCGAGGAACGGACTTATTTTCGTAAGTCACTATGTAACAGCTTTAATCTGATTTTTAGAAAGGGGTGTTAGATGCTGTCGTTTTCTAAACACTTTTGCTTTATTTACCATTCTCCCATTGTCAACGCTGGTATACAGCTGTATTTATATGCAGGTGTTCGCTGTTCCTTTGCTTGCTGAAATAGTAATGTAGATTCTTTTCAGAGTACTTTCATATTTGAGTAATGAATTTTTTGGGTTCCTAAAAGAGCTGCTGGTGTACGACTTAGAATTGTCATGTTCTTTTTGGATTTCGGATGTGTACATTCTTCGGTTTTCAGATCAAAAAGTGAAAACTTTTGAGGAAAACCGACTTTTTTAAATAAATTTCTCTCTTTGAGGTGAGGTATCTCGATGACTGCTAGTTCTTTAATTTTTATAATGTGTAGAAAATGACACTATGCATTATCTTCCGAAAACAGACAGGACAGAGAAAGGCAGGAGACGTACACGATGGAGTAGATACAGC